CGCGTAAATGTCAATTTATTACGGAGCTCTAAACCGCAACGTGTTTTTTGTAGGGCCTGGGCTTATACGCTGCTAGGGACATTGAAAAGCACACAATGGTCATTGAATATATCGGAACCATTATCCGGAATGAGGTGGCGAACCGGAAGGAGAAGCTTTACGAGTCTCAGGTACGGGCGGTGGTGGCTCGCCGTGTCTTTCCCCTTCCCCTTGCAAGCGTTCGTGCGCCAGAGCGACTGCCGGTCTGCTGTCCGATGAGGTCAGGTCCCCTGGCTGCTGTCTGCTGCGGCGCTGTAGAGGCAGGGGAGCCTGCAGGGTGCCCGATGGAAGGATCAGAGCCTGTAGACGTTTACCAGATCTCCCCGCAGCCTGGCCAGGGAGGTGACAGATGACCTCTGCCACGGAGACAGAGCGAGCTCCGACAGAGATGTCAGGACCTCAGTTTTTAATGAGAACTTCTTCAAATTTCAAGCAACTTCCTGTGTGTAACCAAGTGCTGTTGTAAGAGTTAGTACGTGTTTGTGGAGCGCTGCGAGACCCTGGGTGCGAGGCTGCGCAGGAGCTCTCCAGGGAGCACGAATTCTGCGTTCGATGGGTGTTCGCGACCCACCTGTTCCCTCACAGACCACCGAGGGGGAGGCCGCAGGTGACCTGCGTGTCCCCTCCTGAGTCTGCAGGCAACGGCCGGTGCTGAACGCAGGAGGACACTTGGCCACCACCCAACAGCGCTGCTTCGTTTTCGTCACTGACAATTATGTAAAACCTACAAGTCTGTCTTCCAATTGTGCTTTTCAGAACCGTGGCGTGTACATGTTCCGCATCGACAATGACCACGTCATCGACGCCACGCTGACGGGAGGCCCAGCAAGGTGGGTGGCTCTGGAGAGATCCCCGACCTCGCTCTAGGGCGTCAGTGCTTTCCCTTGCCCCAGAGATGCTTGTGGCTTCTCCGTGGTTTTCACCCCCTGCGCTGGGGGCTCAGTCTTGGGCCCATTCCACTGAAATGATGTCGTCCTTTTCATTAGCTGGGCTCAGCTTTGAATCACAGAATCACAGAATGGTAGG